GTGTCTGTGTCTGTGTCCGTGTCTGTGCGCGTAGGTTGTTGGATTGAGGGTCGGGGCATGTCTTGCGCGAGTGTGGTGGAGCTTTCGTAGGTTCTTGTTTTGCGAAGAGCCGACCGAAACTTCGTCTTCGTCAGGAGGGTGCACCTTGATGCTGTGGCTCAGACGGCCAACCGATGCAAGACAAACCACTCATTTCTGAATATAGGCGTTGCGTGAAGACATCCTGGCCCTCACCAAGCCAGGGAACCCGAATCATCGGGAAAGCACGCCGAACACTCGACGTAACAGCCGAAACGCTAAGAGTCACAGATTCGGATGAGCTCCCAGCGCCCTCCATACTCAAGGAAAGCATCTTGATGTCCTTGCCAGAGAATGCCAAGTGGCTCTACGCCCATGAGCCCAAGGAAGGCTCTCCAGAGGCGGAGATTATGGAGGCTTTTAAGACTCCGCAGGAATGGGTGTGATCCCTTTCTCTCTGACCGCCTAGGTCTGAGAGATGTTTTTTGTGATGAACGCTTTCCGGGTCTAGTCTAAGTTTTTTGGGCTTTGGAGGAAGTGAGATCATAGGATTTGGGCTCAGGAGTGAGTTGTGTAGGCTGCTTGTGGCTTTTCGCTTTGACTAGGACAAGAAGCATGCAGCAGTAGGACCACCCCGGAACCCCGGGAGCCTGACACCTTGATTACTTAAATCCAAACCCCACAAAGCCCACAAAACTCCCAAACCCTGAAATCCTTTCCCAGTCAAGCCCAAAAGCCGCCAGCACTGCTTTTGCTTAGGGCCGGCTGTGCTTTGAAGATTCGTCGAGATCCGTCGTGCCTGAGTCACAAAAAGGAATGAGCAGGGTTTAGGGTGTGTCCTGGCTGTGGAGGTTGGTGTGGTCTTGTTTCTTCAATCGATGAGGCCTTGGTGCTTTGAGCCTTACGTCTTCTGGTGGGGCCAGAGATGCGGTTCCCCACTACAACGGCTCACAAAACAACGATATGTGATTGACAGGAGCGTTGCCGGGGGTTGAGGGCTTGGATGCATATTATGGTTATGCAAGAACAGCAGCTACTATCTGGGTTCCTTGGCTACTAAGGTTGTTGGATTGTGTTGAAGGCCCGGTTTAGAGCTCCGGGGTTTTGGAGTCTAGGGCAGTTTAAGGTTGCGGGGTTCAGAACTTCCTTCTTCGACCCCGTAGACCCTTAGCCTCAGCCGTAAGGCTCCCCGAAAAGAACCAGCTCCACACCGTAGATATGTAATGCTCGCAAACCTATGGTTCTACATTGACACATTGACAGCAGCCTACAAAACAAGCAGCTGGGTTTCGTTAGGGACACAAGAACTGCTTGCCGCAGGCTGGTTCAACCACGAGGCTCCGGCGGAGGACCGCCTGGGATGGTGTGAATTGAGGGACAAAGCGCAAGCTCCGAACTCAGGAAGCTCTTCAGCGACTGCCGTGAAAATGGAAACTGTCTACCCCATGTCAACCTTGAACTAAACAGCTCGGAAACCCCATACCTCATCCCGACACTCTAGGGTTTCAATGCCCGAACCTTCAGTTCTGAAAAAGCTTGAGGAGGCTCTGGGTCGCGGCTTGGGCTCTCTAGTTTGGGCTCCACGCCGGCACTCAGACCAAACTCCCGAAAGCCCCCTCACCCAGTCGCAAAATTCAAAGCCGAGACCCGACGACGCTCTAAACTTTGCCTCCGCCTGGAGGAGGCCAGCAGCCCACCTGCCATGGAGGGGCTGAGGCTCATCTTCCTGCAAGAATTATAGAAGGGGAAAAGAAATGCAGAGAAAGGAAAGGCAAAGCTCAGAAATCGGGGACCTTGCTTTTGCTTCAGCTGCCACGTTAGGATCGAAACCCCCATTCATCGGGCCAGGACAGTTAGCTTAGGGCACGCCCATGGGCTAGATGGTCTTGCAATCCATGCCCCCCCCCTACACTTTTACACTTATAGTCAAACAGCCTAATCAAATAGGGGTGGACCATTTTCCCAATGGGCGTGCCCAGGTTGATGAATTTATGGGTTTTTGGGTGACTCAAGGCTTGAATTCTCAGGGTTTTACCATGTCAATCGCAGTCTTCATGCGCTACGGCTTGCCCCGTTTCCACTAAAAGTAGTAACATGCTCCCCGTAACATGGGAACACGCTCCCCATTTCCCCGAAAACTGCGAACGCGCTCCCCGTCTCCCCTGAACATGGGAAAGTGTCCCCCAACTTAACACAAAAAGAACTCGTCTTCTCCAGGGGCAAGGCGGGGTTCGTTCAAAATGCCTGGCTAGGTGGAATTTTGTGATCTTGAAGGTTCAAGGATGTTTAGGTTTGGTTGTTTTGTGCGGGTGTCGGTTTGGAGCTGCCGGTGCTTCTGCAGATTCAAAAAGAAATGTTAGGAGAAATGTCAGATAATGCCATAGCAACAAATAAACCAGAAGTTGATGGACTTGTATCAGGTGGTGGTGGAGGTGTTACTAATCCGGTTGAACTCGTAGATAGTGACACAAGCATTGAAAGATACAGAAATGCTACAATATCTAATAGTTCATTAGATTTAGCAATAAACGAAACAGCAAGCGCTGCAAGATTAATGTTTGGAACTAGTGACGACACGGGTACGAATACGTATATTGAATGTACTAATACAACAAACGCAACCACAAACAAGCATTTGTTAATGGTTCAACAAGTATTAACAACGATACTCTATTGTCATCGGTTAGTGCTAATGGTATTTCATTGTGGACAGTGTCTAATAATTCAGACCCGACATTATACAGCTGTAACGGCACAAAGGATATATGGTCATACCATTTTGAACTACACTAATGCTAATACAGAAGACGGCAATATTATGACCTTAAATGATAATAGTGCAGTTAGTAGTTCTAACAGGATGAGGCTAGAAGGTTTAACAAGCCGGAAGTAGGAATAGGAAAAGCAAACGAAAGTGGTTGCTTTTTATCTGTTGGTGCAACCAAAGTAGATAGTTTAGAAATTGATAATCATATTACAATGAATGGAGAAAGAGTAACTGCAACAAGTGCTAATGGTATTGAAGTTTTCAAAAATACAACAGATGCTAGTAATGTTTTTCAAGTTGAGAGCGCACAAAGGTATGTAAGAATTTATAGTTTTGGTATTAATGCATATTATGCAAGTAATGACTCACCATCGTTATTATTATTGTTAGGTACGGTCAGTAATGGTGGTGTTTATCTGACTATCTGAATAATTTAGGTATTGGAGCAATAGCAGGAGCAAATAGACTAAATGTAGCAGGAGAAGGAAGTAGTATTTTTGGCGGAAATGCAATTCTTAATGGAAGTGATAATACATTGAGTAGCAATAGATTATGTAATTAATAGTTTAATAGTAGAGGTAGAATATATCAACAAGGAAACGTGCATTCTTCATTAAATTTCATTTCAACCGCAGATCAAATTTTTTCAATACAATCAAGCAGAAGTGCAGACCCACAAGCAAGTGACATATTTTTACAGTTAAACACTTCAGCAGGTGTTACATTAATTACAGCAGCTAGTTGCACTGAGACAATTAATGTAGAAGGAGATTTGGACGTGGATATTGGAGCAACAGGAACGCCAGAGTTTTGAGGTGTAGGAAGTTCTGTTAATTTTTTTGATAAGTTCAGTATCGCACATCTTCAGTTGGCAGGACCGATTGAACAAATATTTTTAAGAAATACAGATACAAACGGTGAAACTAGAACTGAAATAGGAACTAAAAATGTATTGTCAGTCAATTTCGACGGTATTGATGTTAGCCGTGATATTTCATATGCAGGTTCTATTGGTCCAAGTTCTGATAAAAGATGAGAAGAAGGTATAAAAGAGTTAGAAATTAAGGAAGCCGTTGAAATAACTAAATACATCAAACCTAGAACATTTAGATTTATTGATAAAGAAAAATACCGTGACAAGACTCCTTGTAGCATGAGTGCTGCCGGTTTTTCCCAGATAAAATGCTTCCAGAATGGGGTAATATTGTTAGAGAAGGAGGAGACGGCCATTTAAAGCTTGACTATTCGGCGACCACCAGTATTCTATGGAGTGCTTTACCGGATGCTCTAAATAGACTAGATAAGTTAGACAAGGAAGTAAAGAAGTTAAACAAAGATAATGATAACTCGCTTAAACCTAAAACAAAAGCAAAAGCGAAAAGTCAAGAATAATTTACCCTAAATACCTATATACAAAGGGTGCTAAATCTTCAAGAACGTGTGCTACAGAAAATATGAAGCAGATAACAGAATTAGATATTAATGAAAGAACGAGAACAGACATATTAGTATTTCATACATTCAAAGATAGTATTGAAAGAATTGAAAAGTTAGAATTAGAAGAAAGAAAAGGTGACTAAATAGTTTACAACTACCTCCTGTTTCGTTATGTAACTATTCAATAATATACGTAATAATGTTACTAAAGCAATATTATTCATCAATAACTCATTTAGCATCGAACCTTTTAAATTTAAAAAGAATCCAAGTAGCACTGCGCTTAGTTCTTCAACCATTGTTTCTATTTCTTGTCTTTGTAGTTTCTTAGCCTGAAAATGAACAGCTGACGACTATTAACACGAACAGTTGGAGACAGTGCGTTAAATTTCTCAGTGCTCGTTATGATGTTAATACTGTTGTGCCTCCCACGAACATACAATTGATTTAAAAGTGGCGAATTTCTTGAAAAGTCTTTGCTGTCGGCGAGATCATCAACAATGACCAAGATTGAGAATACTTTCTTGTGGTCGTTCTTCTTCTGGTATTCTATCACCTTATGTTGTCTTTCTATTACTGCCTCGAAGTCTTCTGGTAAACACTCGTCAAACATATACGTCCCTTTTTCTAAATTGACCTTTAAACTATCCTGAATGTATTTGTTAACTGGTACCAGTTACTAAATCAACTGAAACTGAAGGAGAGCAAGTATAGATTAAATCAAAGACATCTCTGTAAATGTCTAGTATCATTGACTGTAATAATATACCTGTACCAGATCCTGAATGGTAGTCTCGGTGCTATTTCATATTTAGATTGTTTAACTATATCACAGAACAGTATGGACAAAAGAAACTACAGCCATTATATTGATGTTATTGAGAATATTGAAGAAATACGAGAACAAATAACACCGCCCAAATACCGCAGGTGTTGTTACTCTTTCTTGGAAGTTTGTAAAACAATACCTGAATACAATAGCAAGAACACATAATCTCACCTAGTTAAATGACAGATAACGAACAAAAGGAATGAGGGTACATTGCTTTCCTTGTCGGTGCAATGAGAAGACACTACACAAAGAGACGAAAACAACAAAGGACGATGAAGGCAAAGCGATAAGCAGCCAAACCGAAGACTGTTCTTCATGTAGAGTCGGAAGCGGTTTTCGAAATGCTACACCTGATGAAAATGATACCTTTAAAACGAGCACGAACGAGCAGGAAGACATTGATACTGTTGATACAGGATTTGGATCACGAAGGGCTACGCCTGAAGAACAATTCAAAAACTTGAACCAGAAGCAAAAGAACTCAAGAGGTATCGCCAATTAGAACGTATGGATTCAAGTATTCAAAAATGTTAACCCATTATATATTGACAGAGTACAGTGTTCCCAGACCGAATTGGAAGAAGGCGAAGAAAAAACCCGAGAGCCCCTGCAAAGCCTATGGACAGAGAAAGGGGAGTATCTGATACACTGGCTTAATTTGATACACATAAGATGTACCAGCTAATCAGTTTGTTTTGCTCGTTAAATCTTAAGGAAAATGCATAAATCATGACACTTCGTTACATTATGAACAGTTTTACTAAGCATATAATGATTGTTGTCTTTGGAGATGTAAAAGAGTTCAAAGAACACCTCATTGAATGCAAGCGGTGCGAAATAGAATATCCAAGTACTAACTTTGTAATAATCAGCAATCAGACGTACTCATCAAACTTCAAGTATTGCAGGGAAGATTTGAGGAAGGAAGGTGAGAGGAGGAAGATTCAACAGTTATTATATGCGCGTTGAAAAGCGTATGGGTGAGTCTTCTGGAGAAGAAAGTAGAAGTCCGATCAAGAAGTTCAAAGAAGAAGAAGAAGAAGTTAAAGAGTTAAGAGATCTAGTTAAGAGATCTAGTTAGCAGTCTTGTTGAAAGAGTAGATAAGTTAGAAGGAAACAAAGAGAATCTAAAACCCATTAATAAACCCGATTTTACAAATGCTGACTATAATAATCGTAGGAGTGCCTATAAGGACACTAAGCAACCCAAGGAAGAGACAATGAAATATCACAATGTTGTATATGATGCTGATAAGAATTTTATGTGTGAACCATTCAAGGAAAAAGCATTAAAAAAGACCGTATATATATATATACATACATACATACATACATACATACATACATACATATATATATATATTAGTGTGAACATAATACATAAACCTGAAAACTTATACCGTCAAGAAGATATATGAAATCAAGATTAATGAGACAGATTATTTGAATAAAATTAAAGAGTTCAGAAAACTACTTACAATTTATGAAGGTGTGTTTGATAATGAAGATGCTCGTAAGGTTAGAGGTGAAATTTCTATGTTAGAAGATAAAATTCAAGAAGATAAACAGTCAATTAAGAGAAATGATTGAGCACATTGAAATACTATGTAACATTGGAGGAAACAGGGACACTAAATATTTAGATCGAAAACCAAGGAATGCTGTCAAATGGACCAATGTAAGTATTCAACAAATGGAAGCAGAGTACGGCGAATACTTGAAGCAATAAATGTTGAAGCAATGATAAATCTCATTCCCAAAAAATTATTGAACAGAGACATCTACTGCCCCAAGCCCCGAACACGAAGTGCTCGTGTAGTTCCGCTACGCTACACGAACACCCAAAAAAGATAAATTCTATCAACCTGGGCACGCCCATTGGGAAAATGGTTTTACAAACCCCTATTTGACTAGGCTGTTTGATTATAGGTGTAAAAGTGTAGGGGGGGTATGGGTTGCAAGACCATCTAGCCGATGGGCGTGCCCTAAGCTAACTAAGACTAGAACCCTCAGTAAGCTAAACCTGGTGGTTCACAGGTGTTGAGAGTTGTTAGGAGGACCTAGTTCTCTGCCCGGCATCTGTCTGTACATGTTGGGATATCCAACCCGAAGCCTTAAACTTTAGATGCTAACCCCTAGCCCTAAACACTGATGCGGGCTCTTGTCTTGCCCACACCCACTTCGAACACCTCCCAATTCCTCTTTGCCTGGAGCCTAAAGCCCTGACACTTCCAAGCCGACAGCCTAGGCCTGAGCCCCCTGTCCCTGTCCGCCCTTTATCCATCCCTATGGTGGCCCTAACGGCCGAAATCTCGACCGAGCTCTCCCGGAGCGAGAGGACGCTGACACCGGGCGAGGCGCAGGCAAGCGACTGGACGTCTGTTGGAGCTGGGTTTCTGCGAAGCACTCTCCCATGTCGGGAGACTCGGATTTCAAGTTGTTCAGGTGTCTTGCCGGTTCCAGGACTTCGGGGGTCTCTTCATTTAAGATGGGTTGCATGATGGCAGCTGGCCCTACCTGTGCTGCAATCATAGCCATCTTTCCAAATCACGACAAGTTCGAGAACACCCGTCTACTTCGCTGCAAGTTTGCAGAAGCTCCGAACCAAGCGTGGCAGCCGATAATTCGAGAGCACCCACCCGAACTCCCTGAACCCTGTGCCCAAAGCCGTGTCTTGCCAGGAGGCTGCCGAGCGGGCTCGACGGAGGAGTGGCAAGGCTTTTTTTTTCGGGTACCATGCATGGTCGAGGGTTATTGCAAGGCTTATTCTCCAAAGGTTATTGTGAGGGGGTGCTATATGATATAAGGTTATAACAGGCTACTCTAAGGGTGTCAGAAGCATTGTTCGCTTGGGATTTACATAGAGCTATACATAGAGCTATTCGGTGTCTTTCGTGTCAAGGTTTTCGATGCATGTTTAGGGTTGGCAAAGGAGTCTAGTTTCCGACTGCAGGGTATTTTTGTGATATTGAGTCCTTGGCTTTTGGGCTTTAGGTGTTCGGCTTTGGTGTTTGTGGGCTTTAGGGTTGCGTGAGCCTTCAAGCATTGGGTTTCAAGTTCTATGATTTAACGGAACCGATGGTGGAAACTAATACTTGGTTGCGCACCCACACCGCAGGCGAGATCCTCGCTCACGCCCGATCTCTTGCAAATGCTGGAACGAAAGACCTAATGCTTATCCACTGAAGGCCCGAAGACTTAATCCCTGAACTGTACAGAGGCTTATAGATCAGGCAGAGCCTGAACCCTGTAAAGCAATAACTTAAGCATTTAAATGTAGACTCAATGTAGACACCCTATGAACCGTAGAAGCTTTAAAAACGTCCTGCAGAGCTGGTCGAACGAGCATGCCCTGAGAAGCCTTAATCATCCCCGTAAACCCCGAAGCTGTAACCCTGCAAATACGGAGTAGTTGCAGAAGCTGCTGCACTGGAAAACAACATTGATGCAACGAAAGCAACACCCAAAGCTTCGGTAGGTGCCCAGTGCCGAAGCGCCCCTCCTGGCACCCGACCTTGCACCGGAAGGCCCTCCCCCAACTTCCTCTAAGGCTAAGGGTCGAAACGTGTGGGTCGCAGTAGAGGTAGAGAGTGGTGTCGCTGGTGGTGGGGTGTGGTCTTAGGATGTGTTTAAAACTGTGTTTCTTTTCGTCGGTGGTTGTGCATCCGCATGGCGTGTGCCTAGCTGGGGTGAGGCAATGTGGCTTTAGCTTTAGAACGTTAGTGGCAATTGGGGTTGTCGTGCGTCCGGTGTTCACATCACTTGTTTTCGTTGGGGGGGTGAAGCATGCGCACGTTTTGCTGACACGGTGCCCCCAAGAAAACCGCAACAGTCCAGCACTCAGATCTCCTGGCTTCATGCGTGTCATGTGTGGACGCTGGGGAGTGGAGTCGTGATTTCCTCGCTCGCAGCGCTTGTGCATGTTCTTCCATGTTGCCACAGAGGATGCAGACTACAAGAGAAAATGATGATTCCCATTACATTGGAGTCTACCTATGACGGTTGCACGGCAGCCATCAAACCGCAAGATCCAATAACAAGACTTTTCAGCCCAAAGGCTGGATTTCCAGAAAGGGCCCGCATGGCCGGTACCACTGGCCGAACCGGCGGCTTTTGAATTGCGTGGTGGGCTCGGTCAGAGTTTAGCTTGTGCGTTGGCAAAGGCCTGGCGGCCCAGGTTAAGGTTTTTATACGGAGGGTTTGGGTTCACGTTGCCCGGTAATGCAAGGTTTCGTTTTCGCAGTTTAGATAAAGAGCATGCGGTTCACATTCAATGTTGAGCAACGGGGTGAAGGTGCTGTGGGTACGGAGGCGACTTGGAATTGAATGTGGGGAAATAACGCTATGTGACGGCCACAGTCCAGGCACTTGAGAATGCTTTTTTGCTGCAAGGTAGAGAGCGCAGCAGTGTGAACGATGTACTTTAGGACTCGACGGGTGGCCGGAGTCCGCAACCAAGACTTCAACGGAGAGAGGCTTGTGCCAACCCTGGGTTGTGTAGACTGCTAGAGGTCTCAGAACAAAACGAACCCCGGACTCGAAACGCAAAGTCCCAAGGCTGCAGAACCTTTAGGCCTCCGTCCCTCATCTGCGCCAAACATGCCGCCCTGCCTGGTCACCTTTCCGTTTGACTGCTTTATGGACGCGGCAGCCAAGGCCGACTTGAAAGCGCGTCGAAGACCTGTGGACAGATTTTCGTCATTCGTTCTCTTCTCTGAGTCGCTTGCTTGAGAGCGCTTCGCCCACCTCACAATGGGCCACAAGGCCTTTGCCGGCACTGGAGAACATTAAAGACTTCAACTCCTCAAGCCTAAATCCTGGAATGCTGAAGTCAACACACCTTCAAAAAAGCCACAAAACCAAAGCGCTCAAGCCCTAAGGCCCTAAAGCCTAAACCCTGAACCCCCTACTGCAAGCTCCTGAGCCCGAAACCCCGGCCAGGCATCACCGATCTCTGGGGCCAGCTCCCTGGGAGGCCCCAGAGTTCGCTGCCTTTTTGTTCTATAGACAACTGTAGTATTTTACAACGTACATAATAGTATCTTATTCTATAGAAAATTTCAGCATGTTACCGTAGATGATCGTATATTAGTAGTTATAGTCTATCATATTCGGAGCTTCCTTTTCGGGCGAGATTGCAGTTGATATTCGTCTATATCAGGGCACTTTGTTTTCTCAAGCTCTCATCTCCAAGTGGACTGAGCTGGGCTTGGCGGTTTGCATCCAGCGTGTAGAGTAAGCAGGGCGGCGAAAATCAACACTACCTTGGTCGGTTTGATTTTAGGGAATGTCATATTGATCCAGAGGTCCAGGCCATCACGAGGCTCCTTTGACTGCTTGGGGTTTCAGGTTTCGGGGAGTTCGAGCATGGCCATTGGCTTGAGGAAATCAAGGTATTCAGGGATTTAGGTGTGCTGTGTTCTAGGCAACCTTGGGTGCCAGCAGCCAGCAGCGGAAAATCCAAACAGCCCACAGCCCTTAGCTCGGTAATTAGTCTGATCATTGGACCTAGATCTTGGAAACCACCTCGATGCCATGGAACCTTGACCTACCCGGGTCTCACAGTGGCAATAGCCGCAGGGGGGAGGGAGTGCGACAGGAGAATCCGTCCAGTTTCTGCGAAGATACTGGCCGAATACTCAGATCGTCTGACATTGTGGGTGAAGGCTTGGGTTTTGAAGGCCAGTCCTACACACCCGGCACAGGTAAATATTCCGAGAGCCATGTTGGATGCAGCGATTGCACATTTAGGGATGATGACCTGACTTCCTTTGGGGTCGATTGGGCTAGTCATGTTGAATTTGCTTGTCCGCTCGCGCGATGTGAACCTCTCAAGATGCCGAGGTCGGTCAAATCAGAACTTAAACCCCAGGCCCTGTATGGCTCTCAGTGATTCGGGCTTTAGAGCTAGAGCCAAGCCCCGATTCGGGGGGAGCAGCTCGCGACCTTCCCACACACCTCCCAAAGAAGAGCCCTCAGCCAAGATCCCAAGCACACAACCCTTTTGAACGAACGCCCACTTAAACAAAAAGGGGAGGGAGATTGAGCAAAGATTCCCCAGAGTGGAATTAGGCATTGAGTTTTTGTTCCGTAAGGCCAAGGGCCCCCAGCGGCCCCAGCGAGAAGCGTCAGCTTCGGACCGATCTTGAGCTAAGGCCTCGGTTTTTTAGTTTTCACGCTTTGCAGTTTTGGGTTCAAGGCTGCGGGTTCTTCGAGCTACGGCCGCCCCATGATGTTCGCGTCTTGAGTTTGTAGCTTTCGGACTTTCGGGTTCAAGCTGCCCAACAGGTTTCGGTTTTTTTCGAACTTGGCGGGGCGCTGCGGGGGCTGGAGTCGAGACCTCGCTGATGCATGCTGTGGCCATCCAAGGGTGTAGAGTGTGGGACCCAGGTGTTAGGTAATCGGCTTGAGGTTTGGGGTTGAGGACCTTTTTTGTTTGGGCTGTGGTAATTTGGAGATTGCGTTCGCGGCCTCGGGTTACGTTTTCGGGATCTCAGACGTGCCGCATCGGGCGGAGCTCAAGGTTCCACATGGGCCCTGGCAACCGAGTTTGGGTAGCCCAAGACCTAGGTGGGGGACTGCCTCAAGAGAGCTGGACCAGCCACAAGGTCCGGCTTGCGTGTGCAGATAGGATTTGATGATGTCTTCTTCGGGCTCCTTTTGTCCTGGCATACCGGTCGACTCGAACCCCGCCCCCTAAATCCTGTCTGTCATGCAGCTTGTACGATGTCTCTACACCTTACACCTGTCTTGTGCTACCACCGTGGGGTATTCTGTCAAACATGAGACAGACCGTGTAGGCAGCAGGAGTTGGAGGGGCAGCCACTGTGGCATTGATTCCCTAGACTCTGAACCCTGCCCAAACCCCAAACCCCAGATCTACCTAAGGAACATGGCAAAAAGTGTTCGGGAAAATGCCAGAGGAGACAGTCAACCCACTCTGAGACACGACATTGGCAGGGCATGTTATGGGTGGGGTACGAGTCATAGGTCCTTGAGCCGGAAAGCCTGGACATAAGCCCATAGCTTGAGGCCCTACATACTTTCTTTGTTTCCAGACTGCTGCGGCGCCTGCTGATCTACAGTTAGAGTTCAAGCTGGCGAGGCCCAATGCCAAAGGTTGGAAGAAACATAAAAATTCGCTGATGACAAACACCGTATTGACAGTGAGAAATAGTCCTGGTCAGGATGATGGTAGCTGGACATTGGCCAACCCGCGTGGTGATGATTGCGACAAAGATGAGGCGTATGAAGATAAGATAGGATAAGCAGTAAGATGATAACGAAGACGATGATGATGATGATGATGATGATGATGATGGTCATGTTTGTGGCTGCGTTGATAGTGGGGGGAGTATCAATCTTGCGGCTGCTGCTTCTGCCAGTGCTGCTTCCATTCTAGTTGTGTCTTCGCGTCTGCTGAAGAGCAATAGCTGAAAAGCCGTGGCGACAGTCGCAACACCATATGACCCTGGGCCAGGGTCCGAACGGTCGCATCTTTTGGCACAACACTCTTCTAGGCCGGCCATTCAACTTGAGAGGGCTTCGGGTACACGAGGCCGCCCTGGTGAGGCTTTATAACAACAGGGATCTATAGTACAAAATAGGTTTCTTGGTTATGGTAGCTTGAATTCCCTGACAAGAACCCAATTTGGTGAACCCATAAATTCCCAGCTCCCGAGCTCCAGACAGCTGCAGTCCAATCTCCGGAGTCTGCTCCCCCTTCCTTCTCAACACAGGGTAATTCAAGGTCCTGAATGCCCTGAACGTTCCAAAGCCCAAAACCTCGGAATCCGAAGACCTCAGCCTTAAGAGTTTATTCTACGAGCCCTCCGCCCCAAGGAAAATCTATCCTCCCATCTGGAAGACCCGGCTTACTTAGAAAGCAGGTTTCTGGAATGGGGTTGGATCGCAGACCCGTAAACTTGTTCCACAGCAAACCGCAAGGCAGCAGAGGGCCAAACCCCGAAACCTTTAAACCCTCAATCCCGCCTTAACATACATCGCATTTAAAGTTGTCGTGATCCTTGCACCCCAAAATTCGGAACCTTGCCCGAAGGCTCAGACTGGAAACACCGAAACACCTACAACACCCGAAACCCTGAAACCCGGCATCCTATTTCGTGGCGTAACCCCCCAAATATTTCTGCAGCCCTAAAGCCAACAATCCTGAGCTGGAGGTCCTCCGCCTTGGGAGCAGCCAGGTGGGGACCCGAAGTAGCTCTGGGCAACACGAAAGGCACGGCCCCTGCAGTACAGAATTATATACACATCACATGGCAGCTGCCGTTGATGAGCCTCAAATCCAGCCTGGCATGCTGACAGTTTGCTTAGGGTTAGGGACTCAGTGGATTGGCGGTTTCGGTTTGAAGAGGAACTTGGGGGATGTTGGTGCCAAGCCAAGCCAAGCAGTGTTTGGTGGTTTCGGGCCTCCGTGAAAGCTTGAAGAACAGCAAATTGCGCTGAGAAGCAAGCCGCAAGCCTACGTCCTCGGTTTCGTGAGGTTCGGGTACTCAGTATAGATATGAGGACAATCAGCAAGAGTCGAAAGCCAGGAGACATCCAGAAGTTCGGAGATCCCGTAAATTTCGTTCGGGGAGTCGGACAGATGCGCAATGTGACATTCCATAAACAAGCGATCTGTACTGGAAGACCACCTGAAGGCTTGTTCAAAGACACCATGAAAAGCACATGCCAGTAGCATGTGAAACGGTACACCTAGACCGCAAGCTGCTCGACCACGTGCCCTGTCCCAATCCTCGAAGATCGAAGCTTCACCCTCCAGCTCTTTTGCCGAACAGCTTATGGCTTTAGAGCATGGGGTTCATGGTCTGGTAGTTAGGACTTTAGGATTTAGGGCCTGGGAGATTGATTCTCAAGGTTTTCTAAACAGGTTTTCGAGGGTAAGGACTTTGGGGTGAGGGTTTAGGGACTAAACGGGAAATGCCGAGGCCGAAGCACGCTCCCGCCCCTGCGCGAGGATTCGGAGCTCTGAGCACAAAGAGATTCCAACATCTGAGCGCCAAGACCCCTACACCAAAAACCGAAACAAACTCAGAGGAGGTCGGGGTTTGAGTACTGCGTCCTCATGAAGTAACATGCAGAAAAACAGCATGCTTTCCTTACGGTTACATCTTGGATGACTAACCGAGAATCCTGGCAATGGGGCGCGCTTGGATTTTGAGGCCAAAGTCGTTCCTACATGGATGGAAGGGAGTCTGAAATTTCTGTACTCGATGTGAGACCTGCAATGTTGTCATCGGAACTCCTGCACGTTTGCATGTGCCATGTTCTTGGCAGTGTCTTTCCACGAGGATGTTTACCCCGGTCCTTCAGAGCTTTCCCTCTAAAACCGTTTTAAGGCCTCGCATGGTTAGGAGCGTCAAGAGCCATAGCAACACTGTTGTCTTGCTTTGCCTGACTACACTTGACAATGGAATGTGTCCAAGCCGTCCCCCCTGTGCAAATGCTCCATGTGCCGCGCTTACCAGCACTGCACACTTCTCGCGAGGTGATTGGGCTGTAGGTAGATGATTCGGCAGACATTTCAGAGCCGAAGCACCAGGTCTTGTGAAGTCGATAAACCATTCAGCGGTTGTTATCACAGGTGCTTTGTGGTTTAGGCCACGTGGGGAAGCTTGTCAGTTGGTCAGAAGCCCCCGACCCCAACCCCTGAACCTAAACCGCTAGATCCCAAAACCCTAAAGCGCCAAACCCTATGCGGAGGCTTTCTAGCCGCGTCTGTACTCTGTCTCCTAAGCACGGCTAGGGAGCCCAAACTCCTTCGCGGTGAATTCAGCGAGGGAAGAGCTCTCGAGGGTGGTGGTCGAAATTGCTCCATGATGTAGGGATTTGAAGGTTTACGCGTTCAGCGGTTGGTTTAAGGTTTGCGGTTTTTGGAGGGGTCCAGGGAGTTTAGCGCTCAGGGGCTTAATGCCCTTTTTTGGGAAGCTCCAAAAGAACTGATTCCGCGGCTCTGCATGCCTGGACTTTTGTCGGGTAAACCCATTGCAAATCTTGCGGCACCCGGCAAACTGCAGTTCAGACTGAAGGTTTGGCATGTATAAGGAGGTTTGGGTATCCATTTGGACAGCTACTCATCTGCATGCGCGACGCCCAGCTCGGGGAAAAATGCAGCCGATTCTGGAACTTCTGAATTACGCTGCAGCCGAGGGCATAAGGTCAAGCTTTTTGCAGCGCAAGCTTCAGCACCCCATGCTTGCGCAGCTACCCGGCTAACCAGACACATTGTGGTCCCTGTTGCCAGTTAGACATGTTGGGATTTGCATTCTTTGCTTGTGCCCGTGCTTGGCCTTTTGCCCTGTCGCTGATTGAAGCCGTGGCGAAGCAAGACGAGCACAAGACTCACAACCCTAGAGCCTCAACCCAAACCTTGGCCAAAAAGGCCTTGAAAACCCCTAGGCCACTTCTAAATCTTCTGGGAACTGTCCCCAAGAAGATGGTGGAGCCAGGCCGAGCCGGGCGTGGTTTACGTCGAGAGGTGCCCTGGTGTTTGGGGACGTATACGTGCAACCGGTAGGATTTAGAGCTCTACGTTTCGATGTAGGTCTCATGGTCCAACCAGATGGTGGTGTAGCTCTGTTGGCCTTGACCACGCTGGGTAGCGGTGCAGGGGTCCACACGTCGCCATCCCAACGCCCCCAAAAAAGTCCAAGGAACAGCCAGTTTACCGAAGATGAGGAAACCCCCTTGTCCTTCATCGCGGACACCGTGCCATGGCAAAAATAAATAAATATATATATATATATATATCTTCCTTGGAGGGATGTGGGGCCTCCAAGGAAATCCACCAGTAGTTAGGCCCAGTTAGGCCCAGTTAGCCCCTTGCAAGCCCTAAAGGGCCTAAACATTCAAGAAACCTGAGATCCAGGAAATGCACGGGTTTCGGCCTCAACCCTGGAACTGCGCTCGCCGCTGAACCTATCTGGAAATGCTAGAGAGCTGTAAATACAAAGATACCCCAAGTCATCCAGGCAGTGGGTTCCCTCCAAGACCTCCAAGACAGACCCTGCAAAAGGGACCCCGACTCCGGGACATCTGTGAACAGCACGAAGTTGTCCCCCGGCAACCATAACTCGACGAAATGATAGGGTGGCTAATGAAGTCACACGTGTAAAGTCATGAGGATCCTCCAGCATGGAAAGCGGCATTGAAAGCTTACACGACAGTTCAGCTGAGGTGAGCAACATTTCGGGCAACCGGGCCCCGATCTCAACTATCTTTGGGCTGGAGGTTTGAGAGATCTTGGTTTCTTGGTGGAGATGGGGTTCGCCAGCTCAGGGGAGCCGTTGAGGGCGCTTGGGGTGGATGTGAAAGCACGTATGCACTCATGGTCGAAACACGCGAAGCACGTAAAATCAGCAACATGCTAAGCGGGTGTGTATGTGTGTGTGTATATATATATATATACATGTGTATACACATAGATCGTTATTCGTATATAGATATAGATATCCATGTATGTAGCGTGTGCATTTTCATAGTGGATAGATGAATGCATGGATAGATAGATAGATAGATAGATAGATAGACAGACTGATAGATAGATAGATAGATAGATAGATAGATGGACAGACAGGCAGACAGGCAGATGGATAGATACATAGATAAACAGATAAACAGATGCATAGATAGATAGATAGATAGATAGACAGCATGTACACATACATATATATATCTACATCTACCTATGTGCTGGTTTATGTGTTTGGTTTCTTCACCATCCCATGCGCACGCACCTCTAGCGGGGTCGCCAGCAGCCGTGACATCATTACACACACGCCTCAAGAGGGAGCAGATATATGTACAGACATATGCGTGTGTATGTGTGTGTATATATATATATACATGCACATATATTGCATACATATGTACTTGTTGTGTTATTTATCTAGTCGTTTCTGTGTTTTGATCCCAACTTCCACTGCCTTAGGTGGTACCACCTCCGTACGAGGGCGGGCCAAGCGTCGTTGCACAGAGCTGAATCGGAGTGTCGAGTGTCCCAAACATATGTAGCTAAGCCTTGCAGCGGATGAGGCAATGGTTGTGAAGAACCAATGAGAGCAACAACGGCAGGAAAAGTCAAGGCCATGCGTAGACAAAGCCTCCAGATGAAGCTTAAAGCAACCTGAATTCGATTTCTGGGTTTGGCAGAGCGAGAACATACATACTTAAAGCCGAAACTCTGTTTAGATAAAGTCTGCATGTAAAGTGTCAGTGGTCAGGGAGCAGAGGGCCATCTCGTGATTGAGATCAGGAGCCCGGCTCCCCTTCGACCCACTAAATTCGCTGGTCCCATGGGGGAGTTTCTCTGAAATCCTCCTAAACCCTAAAGCTGCCCGACATCTTCGTTTCAAGGCTTCAACAGTTCTCATATGTGTTTCGATGTGCTTTTTCAGGGGCCAGTGCTTTGAGAAGCCAAGTGGCCCTAGCAAGATCCCCTGTAGAATTCCCAAACCCCCAACCAGGTTTAGGGTTTAGGGTTTAGGGTTTAGGGCCCCAACCCCAGAAGCCCCGAAGCCCCCGCATGTTTTGAGAAACTCCCGCAACTGAGCGGGGCTGCAACCACGAGAAGTGGGAAGAAGGAGCCCAGGAGTTGACGAGTCGGGTTGGGATTTCGGTCGGATCTTGGGGTTGGATTCCGACAGTGGCTCAGCAGTTTCATACCCGAGTGGCACCTTCAATACTTCATGCAATTCGAAACTTCCGAATGTTTCCCGTATCGGCATTCAGCAGCTCTGAAGGAGGGACAATAGATGCAGATGACAGGTTTGCTTGCTTGCGAGGATATGGGGGTTCTACAGTACGTTGTGTTACATCTTTTGAGAACACGGTTCTTGCACCACAATGAAGGTGACTCTCTTCTGCCACTCATATTCCCCGGTTCTTCAGCTTGTCTTACGCATATGCTTTAGTGCCCCAGGAATGAAAGTAGTCCAAGGGTCCATTCCTTTATGAAGGAAGGTCCGTGTCTCAGCCACACATCCATTGCGTCACTGTCCCAAAACAAACAGTCACCTTGAATCTTATATGCTCAGCCCCAAACCTGTCCGAAACCTTATCCGTCCGTTTGATCTGTCGCGCGCTACCCGCAGCTCCGACTTCCACTCGGAGGGTTTCCGTAGCCGCAACGCAGTGTGCCCTGGGACCGGAGACCCGGGGTTTGAAGGTGGTTTGGGGTTTCAGGTTTACGCTTAACTCTGGAGTAAAAACAAAACCTATTTGGATCTTAAAGCCTAGTAGCTCAGTCAGGAGTTCCAGATTGTAACTGCCCCTTCATCTAGCAGTTGAGGGCTTAACACGGGCCGGAGCTTTGCTTTCTTTGAGGGTCCGGGTCTGCAGGGACGTAGATTCGAGAAGTGCCGCCATGAAACTCGCCATTCTCATCGCCTTAGCACTGGCTCCAGCGTTGGGAGTGAAGTTCCAGGCGCATCCAAACAGTTATGGGGCTTCGGCTTCAGGGGTTGTAGGTTGTTAGGGTTAAAGCCTTTCCTTCTCGACCAGGACCCCGAACCAGAAACATGAAGAGCGCACTTTGACGTGAAAGATACCTCCAAGCAACCCTAAACTCAAGACTAAAAGCCTACGAAGGCCCTCGCGATAATCCGAGGCTGCTGGTAGCCGGATTTAAACACTGGATCCTCGACAGTGTAGTTTTCAAAATGCATGTCCCGCAGTAACTCAGTAGCAGCCACAGGGGAGTAAAACAAACCCCTAAGCCCCTCGACCCCGAAGAAACCACACTCAAAGCCCCTGAAGCCGTGGAAAGGGCGCCCTGCGCGAGAAGAGGCGATCTTGAGCGGGTCCAGGGCTTCCACGGTTTCGGTTTCGGGTGTCAGGGAGCCTTCAGGGGTTTTCGGGTTTTGAGGCTTTCAGAGGGGGGGGGGGGTTACACTTGGCCCTTCCGGTTTCCGAAGATCCGGGCGTGGTTGGGGTGGGTCTCGTTGACGTTCGGGCTCCTGCTCCTGATGTAGTATCGATGCATGATTCGTGCCCGATTCGCTGGCACAGCTTCGCGTAAAGGAGAGGCCACACGAAAGCATGCACGCAAGGGTAACAAGGAAGCAGCAGACTGCAAGAGATGCAAGATGATTGGGTTTACACTCGCGGGCTGTGCTTCCCTGACCTGAAAGCTATCATAGCAGCGCACACATGTTAAATCTTGTGCCATCAGCTCCAGGGTATGGAACAGCGCCTCCCAAAGCACAAAACAAGCGGACTGTCTCTCTGTGTGTGTTCCTTCAGTTGATTGAGTCAGTGCATGGTGAGTGTTTGAGTGTTTGCTCGCGTAAATTCATGCAGCTCAGGACAAATCATGGATCTAGGGTCTCGAGCCCTGCGAGATTTGGGATTTCCAAGTAGGTCTGGGGCGGCACAACATAATTACGCCTGGACCCCAAGTCCGAAAGCGTAACCCTGCAAATCCTGAGATCCTAATGACTTATACAGGGTTGTGAGCTGATCACACGGGTATGATAAATTTTGGTGGTGTTATCTATTGTCGCATTTCGAAATCAAACAGTTCTACAGCGCCTTATGCGTCTGCATTGGGGCTCGCTGATTTTGGGGCTAGGGCTACGGCCACCGACGTGCAGGACGGAATGCAAGATTTTCGCGATGTGGGACTACCATGCTGGAAAGGTCGGCACGGTTGAGGGTTCAGGGCCTATAGGATCTAGGCAGTGTTGAGGGTTGCACGTTCCAAGCATTTCCAAATTGAAGCTCGTATGCTGCAATCTTCCTGGGTTGGGGGGGGCGTGTTCCAGTCGACAGCGCCCAAAAGGTAGAGTAGATCTCAAGTTCAAGAGCCCCTTTTTGCGGGACACGCCTGGGTTGGTCTTCCGGCTAGGCCTGTGCTGGTTTGGTGGCTAGGCTTCGGTGGTTGGGAAGGCTGCTTGAATTATACTGAACATTCAAAGACACACTGACAGCATAGCTCCAAGCGGTTTGTATCAGCAGTGCTTGTCTGCAATGCTTCCTTCGCTGTAGACCACAGCATTGCGAGAAAACCATTAACTTTAAAGCCCTTTAACCCCTTACGCCCTAAACCAGAGACCTTCAACTCCTTCGAACCCTAAACGAAAAAGGGCCTCTTAGAACCTAGCGCTGGTGAGGTGCCTTTCTTCATCCAAAAGGATCTGGAGTCCTGGGCCCTTCATTCCCACGGCCGCTGTGGGAGCCCTGCGCCTGGGACAACGCTACTACGTTCTTGTGCTAGAATGGCTCCCGGTAGGCAGTACTTAGGGGTTTAGGGTTTAGGGTTTAGGGTTTAGGGTTTAGTGTCAGCCTTGCCGGGTTTGCTGTTCCATTGCCGGGCTTTCAAGAGCCCCAGAGTTGTACAGTCACTAGGTATCTGAGTCTGAGACCGATTGAATACAGCCCGAGTTCTCTGCTGCAGGTGTTTTCGGTCTCTGTATTCGACCTTAGACCGACCCTTCGAGCAGAGACCGCACAAAGTGTCAGCGCAGCCCTGCATTTGCCCAGGTGCTCATCAACGACACCAACATCGCTGAGTACATCCCGGATCTTCCAGAAGAGTATTTCAGGCTTCTTGTGAGTCTTCTGCGGGGGATTTGCATCAACGGTCTTGAGGGGATTTGTTCATGAGGTTCTTTAAGGGATATAGGTTTAGAACCGAGTGTATGCAGGCTGTTTAGGGATTACAGCTCTTGTGCGTTGAGGGTTCAGGGTGCAATCTATTGCAGTTTCCTGGTTGAGGGTTTTTTGGGTTTTCAGCTTCCGGTGTCTAGGATAGCCTGTTCGGTCGAGTGCTTCAGGGATTCCAGAATCTCTGGTCGGGTTTCAGGCCGCCTAAGCCCTGAACTGGTGAACTCTGGAACCCTCCACCCTGCCCAGTAAGCATGGGCGGCCATGCTTTCAGAACCAAGGGTTGACAGTCTACCGCCCGACCTGGTCTGGCCGCTGAAAGCCAAAGGCAGCTCGCAGCCGCGAGTCGCTTTAGAGCTAAGGGGTTGTTTAGGCTTTCCTCAACCTGAAAGCCGCGAAGAGACATACTGTAGGAAAAGCATGCTTAACCAGGATATTAATGGGAATGGACCTGCATCAAAGCGGCAGCTCTGATCAGGCTCCCCGACCATGGATCCCGGTCGGATGTGATCCGCTATGCTTTGATCTATCATCATGGAGGCCGCGCAGAAGTTGCAGAGCTGCACCGGATCTGAAAGGCTTCGGGTGTTTGGGCTGAGGTTCTGACGAAGGTGTTTATATTCCCGAAACCTCCAAGCTCTAGTCCACAGCCTCCACACGGAGCCCACGCCATGCCCCCTTCATCCGGAAGCCCCTACGGGTTTGGATTGGGATCTTCACAGGCATCTACATGGACACCGACATCTTGGTCCTCAGGGACTTGAACGAGGCGCCGAAAGCAAATCCACTTCGCTTACACAACCCGCAGCCCAAATGGAAGTTGTTTTCGAACCCAGGGCCCTGCACCATGCACTGATATCCGGACAACGAAACCCTGAACCACAGAGTACCGAATCCCCAAGTCTCCTAAAACCATTAAAACCCTGTCACCTCGAAGCCCAAAGAACATGGGGTCGGATAAGTGGCTTCTGCGAGAGCACGTTTGGCCTCTCCATTTGCTAGTTCCTTGACTGAGCTCCGACATCCCTGTCTGCTTAAACTTAGATGCCCTGCCCTGCCCTACATCGTGTTGGTCATTGATTGTTTTTTGGAGGGTGTGGGTTTCTGTCATGAGGCTTCGGGCTTGAGAAAGTTGACATGTCTTGGATTTGGGCTGGCAAATCCTTGCCTATTTCTCGCAGGCTTAGAGGCCATCATTACCAGACTCCTAGCCTGGTCGCAACCGTGATGATAGTGACCATCACAATCACAGTCGTAAACCATGATTCCAAGAGAGAGAGATATTCCCGGCATCGCCAAAGACTAGTACGATGCAAGCCCCAGCGCACAGGTGCTGGACAAGGTTGCCGACGATTACGACCTGATCTCCTATGCTCAGAAGATTCGCAGTTGCGTTGAGGGGAGAAAGGTTGGGGAACTGAGAATATGGTGGAAGACAGGCCAAGCATAGAAGATGTGGATTTAGTGAAGACCTCAGATCCCATCCTGGACCTCTCTGACTCTCCGACTCCCTGCCCGTCCTAGCCATGTACCCCTTGCCCAATGCGTTTAGAACCCAGACATGCCTGTGTCCAGGAAGAGCTGCAAGTCCTTCAGCTCCAATTTCCTTGCCGCCCGCAAGGGCAGCGCCTACATGAAGGAAGTTTGGGAGGCAGCCTACGGGCGCGTTCCGGGTTTGGGTTTCGGGGTTGATGTCTACGTCTGCGTGACTAACTTTGGGGTTCATGCATTGATGTGTTTGAGGTCAGTGAACTTTTTGTGCTTCTTGCAGGCCTCTGGTAAGAGTTCGTAAAGCCTTCGTATTGCGGTCTGTTTTCGGTATCAGGGCTTCGAGATATCTCCAACGTGACCCCAGGAGGCGAGGGGTGGATTCTCTAAATTTAGCTGAAATTAAACTCCGTCTTCGGGTTACCAAGGAACGCTCATATTATCGTATTTCGTAAGGACCGTATCGGGGACCAGATTTCAGAGAACCACCCAGCTCAGCTGTGGCCAACTTCGGGTGTTCGCCGTAAAATACTCAGTCGGTGGTACCGATGCTTGAGAAGAGGCTCGTACGCATTCCTGCGTAGCCGTAACCCACCGTGATGAGCTGCAAGCCTAAACACAAAAAGCCCTAAACCCTAAACCCTAAACCCTAAACCCTAAACACAAAAAGCCCTAAACCTTGGAGCCCTAAGCTTCAGAGCCTAAACTTGGAAGCGCGGGCGGTCCAGGCGCAGAAGAAAGCCATGACGAGTCACTGCGAGTCCCATGACGACCGTGACACGAAGGCTCATCTTCCGGGAGGTAGGTCGCCGTGAGGTTTCGGGTGTTGCAATTGGGGCTTCGTGTTTAGGGTTCAGGGTATGTTCGGTGAAGCAGTATGACAGCTCGAGTACTCTGTGCTATGATTTCCGGTCCACCACTCTACAGTCATAGCACGAAGTAGCGGAAAAGGTCATACTGCTTCTTGAATTTAGGTTCAGATGTAGTCTTCCCTGAAAAATACTCAAATCAACGCAGGGACATAGTAGAACATAAGGCATGATGCAATCTCAGATCGTACTAGGAAAGATGGGCCTCTCTGCAGCGCAGCTCGATTGAGATGTCGGCCTGGGCAATCAGGAGCCTGATATTAGGGTTTAGGGTTTAGGGTTTAGGGTTTAGGGTAGTTTAGTCTTCGGGGTTGAGTCTGCCCGAGAGCTTCAACCCTTTGACCCTCGGACATACCCTGCGGCCGTCGTCGAAATGCCTTCGTGATCTCAAAAACAGTGCTCTAGACTGTAGACCCGGCATAGGCGTTTCCTGCAAGTAACGGGACCCCGACCGTACCTCATTCCCGAAATCTTTCAAACGTTCGAGCCGAAGCAATCAAACATAATTCCTCGAACACCACTTCTAGAACGCGGAAGCCGCTGCCACCATGGTCAAAGCTGAAGCTGAACCCTAAAAACTGAACTTTTCACAGTCATGGAACTAACTTCAGAAACTAACCCAGAAATCTCAAAAGCTCGGTTTGTGTTTTCAGGTTTGCTGCCCAGCGAACCCTAAGCACAAATGCCACGTACACTGGGGTGTCGCTTGGCCTTGAGTAGAAAGGGAGCTCATGCTCAGAGTTTGGGGCTTAGGGCTTAGAGGTTTCGAAATTAAAGCTCAGGGACTTCAGTTTGGTTCAGGGCTTTCGGCGGCTGAGGTCTTGTCGGCTGTAGATGTTTGGGCTGAGGTTTGTGAAGCCACATTTGTGGATGACTTTCTGTCCAGGGGATGGTCATGGCTCTTTTGTGTTGCTGGTGAGATGTTAGCCGGTGCAGCTAGGGGTGTTTTTTGGGGAGGTTTGGGAGTGGGCTTGATGCTGCGTGATTAGCAGATTAGCACTTAAAGCCCTAAATCCCAAAGCTCAAGGGGTTTGAGACTTCAACAGACATCGTGCCTGATCTGAGGCTATCGGTGAGATGGTGTCTCATCCAGTGTTCGACAAGTTTGCTGCCGCGAATCCTTCAATGAAGAAGCACTGCTTCGCAGAGGAGGACAGGGCCATCGCCACGAAGAGCAGGGTTGTCAAACCGTATCATAGTATAATAGCCACCGCCACAACATGAGTACTGAATGAGTTTGCTGTTACACGTGGTGACCTCATCAGTACAGGGGTGGGGCTCAGGCTCAAGCCCACTCACCGAAGCACCCGAAACCGAAGGAAGGCGAGTCCTTCGCTCCCGAGGGTGCGGAGCTCGTCTCGAGGGGGCACAGCACGGGCTGTGGGCAGGGCGGGCCGGGCTGTGCGCGGGCTGTGATGGGCATTTTCAGGGCTTGCGGCTTGCGGGGGTTGGAGGTCTTGGGTTTTGGGTTGGCAGCTTCGGGGAGCAAGGCTGGCCCACAGTTCACCATTTCTCGCGGTAGGTCACAAGGCAGAGGCCAGCAAAGTCAGTGACGGTTTTCACTAGCTCCAGAGGAGGTTGGCCCTGCATGTGCGTGTGCGTGTACCCAGAGCCCAACGACCGAACAGGTAGGGTATGTCTCCGTTTCCAAGGCATGGGCACAGTGCTCTTTACCAAGCGGAAGCTCCAAGATGCTTTGCCTTTCTTCACGAGCATCAAGACAAAGCAGCCAAGCTGCAGCTCGTGGAACTCGTTGAACTCGTGGAGTGCTTAGCAGCTTCTGAAAGGCGCATGCCATGACCTTAAACCCACGTCCGAACTGTGTTCAGCTTTGACGCATCACTGCCCACACCCTACATAGAAGTCAGAGAATCGAGAAGTGCTTCAGGATTGTTGGCAGTGTTGGGGATGTCTCGGTAAAGATCATCTTGACTCGGACTTGGAGCCTCCTAAGTCGAGGGCTTCGTCTGGAGGGTTCGGGGCCATCGTAGAGATTATACCTATCCTACCCTGGAGCCCGGGAAAGCTGCGTATCTTAAATCTGTAATGATGTCATGTTTTGGGGGGATTCTGACTTAAATTCCTAGTATTATCACGCAAGGTAGGCGTTGGGGTTCGGGATTGCTGAAGGTTTCGAATTGAGGGCCTAAGATGCAGAGATCAAAATCGGGCTTCCACTGTTGTAGCTCGACAAAGCAGGCTAGCAAGCTCATCATCATCATCATCATCATCATCATCATCATCACTCATCTCGGTGCTGTCGTCGTCGTTGTTGTGGTCGTCGTCAGTGCCGCTGCCATCCTTGTGTTCGCCGTCCAAATATTCATCGTCATCTTCAGAGACATGCAACCCTGAACAAACTTGCAAACTTCTGCGGAAAGCTGCAGGAAGCCCATGGATCGACTGGCCTACCACCTCTTCAACGCCCAGGGCTTTCAAAGGCAGACCACCGGGTTGAGGCTAAGTCTCAGTTTCTGCGAAAAGAGGACCAACTTGAGGCGTTAGGGCTTGCTAGTTCAAGATGTCATAGCATGCGGTAGTGGCGACCCCTGCCCGCAATGTCAGCTTGTGCTTGCTTCTCCTCCAAGAACCCTGCCGTAACCCGATGGTAAGCTCAAGTCCCTGAGAGTCCTTGAACCCTTATTCCCTACAACTATGCCCTCTTCCCCGAGCACCCCGAAACCAAATATCCTAAGCCCTCAAGCCGGCCAACACGTTCAATTCAACCTTTTCCTACACTCCTACACTCGAAAAGTTGAATTCAACCTTTCCCTTACACTCCTACACTCGAAAAGTTAAGCTGGGACCATGAAGCCTTGCAAAACCAACTTCCTTCAGGGAGTACGCTGGTGGTGCCATCTTCGATTCGGCTCTTTTCGTCGGAGCGCTGTATCGGAAGCTTGGACTCGGGGATTGGGGCCCGAGGGGATTTCGGGCCTTCAGGATGTAGGCCCTATAGGGTTTCCTTGTTTCAGAGCCTGCTGCGAAAGCTGATCCTGATGGCACGAGGTGAATGCTTCCCAGCCCACACCCCGAAACCCGGGCTTCCGCACGGATCTTCTTGGGCCTTAACGTGAGCCAGGCTGAGAGCTGGGAGGAGAATGGCCCGCCAAGTAGCTCGAGCTATGAAATGAGCGGCCCGCTTATGGTGAAACACATCGCGCCCGCTACTTGCGCGATCCAAGGAAGAGCTTGGGAAATGCCTCGGCGCCACCGAAGGGTCCTGCAGACGACGGCCCAGCCGAGTGAATTGGCAAGCATTTAGCACTGAAAAGCCTGTGCGGGTGCTTCAGAACGTTGGTGAAGCGCAGAAGGAGTAGGGTTCTTGTTTTCAAAACCCCTCATGGAGAAGACTTTCGGAAACCCAATTCAGCTTGCACAAGGCTGGTGGAATTTGGGCTTGAGCGGCAGTGTCTTAAGATTTGGACGTGAGGGCTTTCAAGGATGTTGGGGTTTGGGGGTACCTGGTGCTTTGCCGGACAACGAACAACCCGGATTCCAGCTGGGTCTGCGCAGGTTCGCGCTACCCGTTGTGAATTTGATTTCAAGGGAGGGAATCAGCACAAGGCTGGGAATGAGTAGAAGTACACCTTTCCCACACTGTGCTTACCACGATTGCTTCTTCGGCTACATTGCCAAGTTCAGATGACCGTTGCTCTCACTGTACCGCTTCGTTCCTGCCCTATATGACTTTACGCGAAGGATCCTAGCAGTTGGTGGTCTCTGACTAGGTCTTCCCTTTTTTTTTCTCTCGGAGTGTTCCATGCTCTGGGTTTAGTTGAAGTCAGGACGAGATACAAAAGTGATACGTGACTGATTCTGATCACTTGGCTGAAGTCTTGATAACCCTGTGAAGCCTCATAACAACCTATGAAACCTAAACTACGTTCGTTACAACCTGCACAGGTACTGCGCGTCGGAAGGTGAGAATTGCCCATGCTCGGGTCGAGTCTTCTTTGGCCGGAAGTTTGACAACGACAAGGCCGCCAGCAGTCAACACTATATCCTTGAGAATATGTATACCGGAAGCCCGAGTCTAAGCAATACGGCCCCGAGATGAATTGTCGTGGGATTTGGGATTTTGAGCCCTTGGGTTAGGCCTCACAGTTCAGGGTTGGGGTTTGGAGATTGACGGAGATTTCGACATCGGGATTCTCCAATGCAGCTTGAGCCACGCCAGAGCATGAACATCTAGGGCTCCAGGCTTTCGTGGCCTAGGGGTTTGGCAAGCTTCACATTGTAGCTGTTGCATTCCTTGGGCTCAAGTGACCTTTGGATAGCTAATGTCTCCGATAGCATTCTCCCAATGCTTTCGCTTCCATAACCCCAAAACCTGCCGAGATGAAGAACACAGGACGAAAAAACAAATCCCGCCTTCCCTCACGCATGAAAAAACTGTGGAACTTGTTCATAGCATTGATTCGGACATCATGGCAGTAGCATGAATCTCTGAGCACGGAATCCCTGGAACCCTGAGCTGAAAATCGACACATCACTCCAACTTCCCGAGCAGCCTGAGCTATAGACTGGGTTCATCGCCAGGTTCAGTTTGAAGTTCCAAGAGAAAGACATAGACATAGTCCGACTGTGGTGCAAGAGACATTCAGTTTTGTAAGCATAACCCAGATGATGCTTCAAGCTCGCACAGCCCATCGAATTTCGTCGTTGTCTTTATCGATGCTTAATGTCCCCGAAGTCGAAACCCTACACTTGCACCGAAGCCCCTGATGCCTTGATTCCGAACCCTGCTGAACTTAGAGCCTGATCCTGAAGGTTTCACCACTAAACCACGACTGGTTTAAGCCTCAAGCTTGAAGCTTGAGTTTCGGGAGGATGGACATCAACATCCTGATTCCTAAATGCCAAACTCTGTGCTAGCAGACCTGTGCATACAGGAGCTCGAAAAAGACCTTGGTGCCATGAGGGATCAAGCAGCCCCAAACGGCTGAAGCTACACAATGCAAGATAGAGGTATTTGATCAAGAGGGGGTTCGGGTTTAGAGATAAGTATGTACATGAGTGCGCGCACATATATGGATAGAAAGCAAGAGGATTAGAGGGCGCCCTCAGCCGCTCAGACCCAAAGTCTCCTCCTGCGAGGATGGGGACAAGCTGGACTTATCTGAAATGGTCTTGCAGCAGCGGCCTGGCTTGGGATCGCTTGCGAGAGGGTAAAGGGTGCTCTTCTCACTGAAGTTCTAATAATGCAGGCTTCGCGGTGGAGACTACGAGGAAAATTGAAGTTCTGGGTTAGTTCCAGGCGTTGAGTTCATGTTTGGGATGTTTCCCTGAAGCCTTTGGCAACATGACACTGTGCTCGGACATTTCTGGAGGGAGTGCGGTACCTTGTCGCCGGGTTCTTGTTGCAACACCACGAAACAACCCTTAACTCAGCGCGCTTTGGCAGAGCTCCGCTTACCAAGGGTTAGGTCCCGAAGTCCGTCGGCTCCCCCGACCTTGCTTCCCTTCTTTGTTCTCGCCTTGGGGGCTTTAGTCACAACCCTTGCATGGGCAACGTTCGAAGTAGGCGCTGTCCTTGTCTGAGCGAGGTATCGCATGATGGAGGTCAACGGAGATATTGCCGGAGCCCCAACCGAGCTCCGAATTGTTAAAGGTACTCGCAGCCCCGGTCTGAACTCTCAGCCCGAAACCTTTTAACCGTACCTGAGTCTCGGTGCTTCAGGTTCAGAGGAGATTTGCGGCTTCCAAAGGAGGCGTTGTAAGCTTACGGCGTACGTATCCACACAAAAGTTGCACAAATGGTCTTCGCATCTCTCTCTTTCTGTCTCTGTGCTTGTCCATCGGCAAGCACTATCCCATGCATGTGACATGTATTTGCATGTCGAGTGTTTACGCGTGTCTAGTAGTTCTCGCATGTACATGCACGGACTAGGTACAAGTGTATGCATGAACGTGTATACACGTATTTATTTGTAGCTGCGAGCGCTCGTCTACTTTTGTCAGTACCTGGATAGCGCTGTCTGGTCTTCGGGCTTCAGAACCCTAAACTTCTTAGCCGCCAGCTCTCCGCCTCTAAGGTTCGGCATGGAACCTTTAATCTTGGCACCAGGAACCGTACCAAGGCCACTTAGATTGGCCCGACGAGATCTCTTACTCATCCTCTTTGCTTCGAATCCAAAACCGTCAAGCCTCGAGCTCAGCGCGCCAGGCCCTCGTGATCCACCCCTGGCCGCTACCCGTGTCTTACAAAGGTAGGAACTGTGAATCCTGCCGAGACTTTAGCAGCCAACAAGAGCGATACAAAGACTCCAGCAACCCCCCCTCCCCAACCTTCGCAGCATTGAGCGATTACAGCGAAGAAAGCCTTGAGACGCAAAGCACACCCAAGATCCCAACCCCTTCTACCGCTGAATCCATTGGCTTCTGAGGCCTGCACGACCTCCGGATTCATGGGTGATCCCCAGATCAATCGTCCCAAGCAGTGCCTCTGCCAGGCACGAACGCAGAGTTCAAGAGTCGAGGGGTGTACAGGATCTCCTGTGGTTTGAAAGGAAGAACAGGTATGTCAGGGTCGACAGGCACCGTTTCGGGATCACTACGCAATTGCAGTCTAGAACTGCTGACGGTGCTGTTTTGAGTGCAGTGAGTCTGTCCGAACGCATAAGCCGGGGGCTTCGTGGGAGCTGGCTTCAGCGCTTCGGGATTATTGCAGCGCTGCTACTGGCGATGACGAAGCGCCGCACAGCTACTGCTATGGGCAGTGTTCCAACCTTCCCCTCGTGCCGTGGCAGTCGCTACACTGTGCGATGGTGATGTATTACACGATGTTCTAGACCTCGCTGCGCTGGTCATTCCCCCACACTATTGTAGGCTGCCAACCAACCCCCTGTGCAATGCGGAGCTGGCACAGGATTGAATCGATTTCAATCTTCCTTTCCTTGGATCTCACGTCCGATTTTCTGCCCCCGGAACCATGGGTTTTCGGTGCTGGTTTTGGATTGTTTCTAGAGCGTTTCTGTTTCTGGACAGTCCGCATGCAGCCTCGCAACACCAAAACGCCCAATGATATTCACAAAACCCCTGAATCCCTGAAAGAGAGGCCATGAAGGGAGGCCCTGCACCGCGCAGCCCGGCCGAGGTTCCTTTGCCCAAACGTTACCCGTAGCCTTGTCGGGTTTACTTCCTCCGAACATGATCGCCTCGTTACATTCCGGGCTCTTTAAGGGTCCCCGTACTTAGCAGTGCTTACAAAAGGATTCCTTGCGATGCTTGTTTTCTGAAGCTCCCATGTGACACCTGCCCCTGTTATTACATGTCGTCCGGCAGGGCTATTGACGGTTCTGGAGCATCAACCTCTTGGGAGTCAGCTATTGACAGTACCAGTAGGCAGGAGTAACCTTGGTGGCCTCTGAGAGAACTGGCAGGCAGTACTGCGAAGAATAATCATGACAAATGAAACAACGAAGAATTGGCAAGGCAATGATGACTATAAGAGTAGCCTCGAAGCCTAGGTAGAAGCCCCCCTGCCCCCGAATTTAAACAATCAGCTTCGACTGAACATATTTGAGAGTCGGTTGTAGTTGTTGTCGTCACAGTGGTGGCGCTGGTAGCACAGTAGCAGAAGCAGTGCCAGAAGCAGCAGCACTGGCGTTGGTTGCATGTCCTGGTACTCGCAAGCACATTCAATCGCTACGTATGCTGGTTGTCTCCATCATTAGTAATATGCAGTTCTTGCCACAACGACCAGCCTTTGTTCCGCAGACACATCTGCTACTTCCGTTATCATTGCGATCCGTTCACGTGAGAGGGTTCGAGTAAATAGCTACGGCCTCAGCATTCAAGCACAAGCACCCAGTCGGCACCGAGGCCAGAGATCAAGCTAGGACCTCAACCCAAGAGTCTGGACAAAGGACTTTGAGGTTTGGAAAATCTGAAATGCAAGGCTCGCTCAGTCCCCACGAAGCAACGATTCCCACACCGTGCCCAAGTCCTGAAGCCCAGAAAGGACGGTCCGGCCACCATTTGCGCAAACGAGGGCGAGATGCGGCCAACTCAGAAAGTTTCAGGGCACATCGCCACATTTCCTCTGGGGCGCAGCTAGGAGATTCACCCTACAACCTAAGCCTAAGCCGTAAACTTCTAAGCAGAATGCAAGCGGCACAAGGCCCTAATAGGTCCGGAACAAGTTCTGTCAGATAGGGGCGTAATGCCCCGGGGTCGTTTATCCGTAAGGCGAAATCGCTTCTTCGTACTTTTGCGACCACCTTGCAGGTGAATTCTCGTCTTGTTTTGGTGCTTCAGGATGTTCATGTAAGTATTGGACTCAGGGATGAACGGCTCCCGTGGCTCACGGATGTAGGTTTAAAGCCCCAAGAGCCAAGAGCAGCTGTTGTCTTTTCAGGTGCGAGTGCGAAGGGAAAGCTTACTACGGCCGCAAGTTTTCCATCGGCAAGGACAAGGACTCGTTTCAGCCTGTTTTTTCCTTTCGAGCCTCACGTAGTGATACGACTTTCTCTTAAGGGACGTCAGGCTTCTTCCCGACGATAGAAGCAGCATCCAGGGATCGTCGTTTTTGTTCGTAGACATTGCTATGTGCTTCTCACCGGTTCAATTTCTTTCATGCACATTTATAGGCATTTGTCTTTGTTGCCTTGTTTCGATACTTATATATGCAGATGCTTCACGTTTTCATGCTTTTGGAGCATATACTTTGGGGGAGATTTTGGCGTCAGGATTCAGGCTTAAGGCTGCGGTGCACGGTGGACGTCAGGCTTGAGGATTTCTTGCTGAGTCTTGTGTGCGATGTGGCCATAGAGCTACACAAGGGCACCAGAAGTATAAGAGCGGTGACAGCTACAATGAGCCGCCGCAGTTGCATAATTGGATACATACATACATACATACATACATACATACATACATACATACATACATACTTTTGTGTATGTACACACACATTGGCCCATTAATTCAATCATTCATTGATTCATGTATTCGTTTGTTTATGTTTGAACGAAAACATGTACAGTGTCTGTATACATAGATACACCTAGGGCTATACATTCGCATTGAGAAGTGCTGCATATATATTTGTATAGATAGGTATGTATATTTGTTCATTTCTGCAGTCTTTCGAAATTCTCGAAAAGCTCCGACCCTTCCGACGACTATCCAGTTACAGCCATGGCCTCCCCGACGCTCCGCACTCTTTCCGGGCTGCCGGGAGAGCCCACGCCGCTGAAGGACTCAGCCCTGGCAACTTGAGCTTTTTCTGGCGAGCTTGTTGGTGGCTTGTTGATGTGTTTGCCGTTGCTCTTGAGGTTTGTATTGCGGGTGTTGCGGTGAGGTTTGGAAATCTTGGACGATCGAGAATACTCAACTTATTCTCGTAGTGATACTAAACGACTAAGTACCAAATGCGTGCATGTATAAAAGGGCCGCCACATGTGCCGCAATCCTGAACCTTGCACCATCAACCCTATAAACTCCGTGGGGGAACAACCCTAAACCTCGTAGAGTTGGCTGCAGGTGATCATCGACGCACAGCAGACATACCGAGAGGGAGTGATGAAGCTGGAAGGTGTGGAGCCCGCTTTGGAGGAGTGCGCGGCTTTGTTGAAACGGGCCCGCGCAGAAGGTGAGCCTTGGATCTGTCGAAAAACTACGGTTAAGTAGTTCTTGCCGCAGAATCCCCACCAAGATTATAAAGTCCGGTAATAGCAAAGCC